CGCCTCTGCAGCACGCTGCGCTGGCCCGCCATCGATTTTTCCAGCAGGCCACAACAAGCTCTGATGCATTTGCTCCGAGTCCCCAGCACTAGGACAGAAAGCCGCGGACCGCAAGGCGACGACAACAGCCTGCTTCCAGAGGCAGGAGGAAACAAGCTACACCAGGGCTAGCTAAAACTGTTCCTCGAGCTTAACCCAAGGCCAAATCCTGCTGAGCAGCAGAGCAGAGCCTGGGGTTGCCCCCCTGGGGTTGCCCCCCTGGGGTTGCCCCTGCTCAGGCTGCCGGCAGGGGAAGGGCCGGGGACCGTCCGGCAGGGCTGCTGCTCCCTTCTCACGCCCCTGTTCTGGGTGCTGAGTCCACCAGCGCTCGGTGCGGAAGCATGGCACCTGCGCTCACTAACAGAAGGGCTGGTGAAGGCGCTGACCTGATGATAAGCAGTTATTTGTCTCGTTGGTAATGACTTATTACTCAGACTCAGCTAGACACTGCCTTAAGGGAGGAAACATCTGATCATCTTTTAATAAACACAGTTGGCTCCTGCGAGGTTCCTGCAGCTCCTGTATCTATAAAGCGCTCTGAGACGCATGGCTTATGCACACAGCGCTGCTATGAGTCACTGTCTGGGAAAGGGTGTCGGAATCGTTGCTCAATAAATTGAACAAAGCAGGGAAACCTCGGGTGGGCAGGGATGGCACAGCCCCGCTTCCTTCACTGTGTGGCACCAGCCTCTGAAGGATTTACCCATCGGAGACTGAAAGTGAGATAAAAACGATTTCCACGTTTTCTCTCTTCATCTCAAATCTCCCGCAAAAGGAACGGTCCGTTGGGCACCGGGTTTACCAGTGACAGGCTCTGCTCCCACGTGCTCGGGGAAGATTAACGCTGCAGCGGCAGTGCCACAGGCTGGCTTTACTGGGCAGGAGGGAGAGCGAGCACTGACCTGCAGCCTGCGTGGTCCCACCGGAGCAGGCTGTGACACCCAGCCCCGTGCAGGATGCCCAGGGTGGGGAGGACGTCACCATCACTATGTCCCTTCCTAGAGTGGTCACAGAGGAGGGGAGGGGAGGCAGGGACCAAGGCTGGCTCTCCCTGCTAACTGTCACACACCTCCTCCTGCAGCTTTACACCATGCCCGCAGAAGAATGAATCCTAGATAACGTCTAGTAGTTACACACATGGAGCACAGCTACCAAAACCCAGCCTGTCCGCCCTTCGGTGCCGCAAAGCTTTGCTTTTGTAATGCCACATCTGGAAGAAATACTCGACATGACGAATTAAATAACTTGGCTCGTACAAGAGAAAATAATGTGACACTCTCCCCAACCACGAACTGCACTGCTACCTGCAGCGAATGCACACTCATGTCTGCAGACACTGTCCCGCACCCAGACCTCCACCCGCAAGCAGCAGCCAGCACCGCGGACTGCCCTGCAATCAGATGTTTTCTGAATGCTTGTAAGGCAGGACAGGAATATATATTGAGCTTACATTTAAATAGCATTTTTGCCCAAACACATCTGGAAGCAGTTTCTTTCTCCAGATGTTTCCCCCAGATACATACCTTCCACTCAGTACCCCAGATCCAGATGTTTCCAAATAGCTTCATGCTCCCGTTGAAGCTGAGCAGCCGTGCTGGGGCCTCTCCAGCACGGAAACAGTTAACGCTCCGAGGCATCGCACAGGACACCTGCCTGGTGGAAACTGGAGACAAAGTGGAGCCCAGCAATGGAAAAAGTCAAAGCCAAAAGCTGTGTCAGCTGCTGGGGAGCAGGAGGGGAAGGCAGCAGGGACAGAAAGCTCCATGTTAAAACCTCAGCCTGCTCTCAGCTGTGTAGAGGGAAACGCTGCCTAACTTGAGGCAGTTTGTATCTTCCAGAGCCCCAGTGCTATTCAAAAAAAAACCAAAACAGTTTAGGGGGAAGGCTGAGGACACACAGCACCAGTGTCCATTGCAGGGGTTACGGGGAGGTGAGCAGGGCTCAGTTTCACTACCTGATTGCTAAAGGTGTGAGCTAGAGCTTCTTTTCCTTAGCCAGAAGCAGGACTCCTGCTGCAGTGACACATCCAAGGAAGCATCAAACCCACTTTCTACTTGTGTGCATCAGCTCCAGGGCACATCACCCCTCCAGCCCGGGACCGATTTACACCAGCCCCACAGCTCCTGGATACATGGCTGGAAGGGGTGCTTTCCCACAGACAGAACTCAGGCTGGATGAGTTTGTCACCTCGGTGTGGATTAGCAGCCTCCTGTGGTGCAGCCAGCATGCAGGAGCCAATTTCTCTGCACTTGCTTTGAGTAAGAGCCCTATGGGCCAAGGGGGGTTGACTACCCCAGCCCTACAAGGCTGCAAATGTTTTCTTGGCCTGCTTGGGAGTGCTGGGTTCAGCTCATTTTACAGCTGCTTTGCACGAGCCTCAGCTTGCCTACAGCTCAACCACCCCTCACTTCCCATGCTGCTGTTACCACCCCCCAAACCCCACTACTGTAATTGGCAAGAGCCCACAGCTTTTTCCAAAATATCAGGGAGGTTACAACCCCAAATTTAGGTTGCATGAGAACAAGAGGGCTGAGGGGGATGTTTAAGGGCAAGCCCACAGCCCCTGCAGTGCAAGATGTATTAAACACATCAGCTTCAGGCAATGGGGAGGAGTTTCAGATCTCACCTTTCTACCAAGCACAGGGAGAAGGCTGAAGGGGAAGCCTACCTTCCTGCAAACAGGGAGACACCTTTGAGCACTCAGGAACCAGGACCCCAGCTGCTCTACCACCCCATCTGTCTGTAGTCATTAAGAGGGCAGCCCCAGCACCTTCACATCTAGGTTACTTGGCACAGAAGGATCCTATCAGGGCTGCAGTGGGACACGCTCCCCGCAATGCCTCCTTCTGGCATGGTCTGGAGCCAGGCTGGAGGTCAGTACCAGCACAGATGGGCCACATATGCTCTCCAGGTCAAGTTCCTCCCTCTGCAGACCTGCCTCCTTTGGGTCATCAGCATCTTCCAAGGCAGAGAACTCGCTGCTCACCCTCTCTGGACAAGTGTGGTTTTTGCCTGGGACAGCTGGCAATGAAGAAGAAACTAGAGGCTGTTTAAATGTGTCAATTCACCTTTAATGTTTGAAAAAAATAAATGGTATTTGAGCCATTGCAGTTATGAAGGGAACAGATCTTGCTCCACAAGAGACCGTGAACAGGTTCACATTAGACTCATGCTTGGAAAAAAAACAAACCCAAAACATTCTCCTTTCAGATCCAGAGTGGAGTTCTGAATGGACAAGACCACAAGAGTGCCCCAGACAGTCCAAGGCACATTACCCCAGTGCAAACATTTCCATCAACATGAAGTTATGACAGCTACATTCTTTCTAGTTACAACATTGTTCTATCAATATTACAAAATTAGGCATACTTTGGATTTTGCACAGAGACAAGAAGGACTTTTTACTTCAGGAAGTAGTCAACCTGGGTCATCGAGTCATTTCACAATGAAGAGCTCCCTTCGCTCTGCCCTTCCCCCCCCGCAGTGACTTATTACCAACACCAAATTAATCTCAGAGAGACATCACACTCACCAGCCCAGTGATATTGTCTATGCATTAGTTAGCAAACCAACAAACAGACCTTATGACAAGCACCAGGTATTTACTTGCCATCACACAGCATTTCTCCACACCCAGATAAAAAGAACTTCCTGCAGTGTAATCCAAGTCAGTACATACTAAGACAACATCACTGCTGAACCTATTGGAGACCAAGACATTTGTCTGCCTTTGAAGCAGATGTCACATGAGTTTCCTTCACACAAACATCACATGTAAATTTAACTTCTTGGTACTGTGCTTTAAGAACAAAAGCAGATATCAGAACATGGAGGACAGTCCTCCAGAAATAGCTTATCAGCTACAGAAAATAAAAAAGGAGACAGTGGCCACTTACAAGTCTTCCACATGACTAGCTTGCTTTAAGGAGAGCATCAAGTTAAGGCAGTGTTGAGACAACTGGCTAAGAACATGCCAAATAGAGCTGTTGTCAGTAGTCATCAATTTGATATCCTACTCCATTTCAGGGATGGGCCACCTGGCTTTAGATCTCAGTATCAAGGTCTAAAGATTTCAGCCACACGATGCTGCTTTCTGCACCAAGCAGCAACTCATGGGGATGTTTGTTGAAGTCTTCTAGACCAGGCTGAGTTGCTTACAAGTCTAGGTCAATGTTTCAGCAGAGCCAAAAATACAGTGATGGGCACTGAAAGAGAACACCGAGGGTGCCAGCTGCAAGTCTGTTTATCACAGTCCGAGGTGGAGTTCAACTTGTGTGTGAAAGCCACGTAATCAAGAGCCACCCCACCAGCTTTCAGGGAAGGTCTAAGGACCTGCACTGAGGTTACTGGGAGAGCCAGCTCTCTACAGTCTGCAGGGTGGGTACAGAGGCTCACACTGGCTTTGCTCCTTGTTACAAGATTAACAGTCTAATAAAACTCAGTAAGGAAGTCAGGGTCTTTTGGCCTGCCCAAAGAAGTTTTCCCAGCCTCAAAGAAGGAGTTACCACTGAGGGAGCTGTTGTGGAATAGTTTTATTTCTTCCCACGTAAAGGCCATTGTTTAAGCATTTACAGGTTTCCTAGTGCAATACAACCAAAAAAGCAGTAACAAAAAAATGCCGCCTTCTTCCCAGGCAACTAAACAGAAGTAGATTTTTACTGCAACATATACACATTAAATATAATATACAGTCCATGCAGCGGCATAGCCATGTTAAAGGGAGTCGTGGCTTCAGCCATCAGTGCATTACAGTCCAAATTTCACTTGCTCCTACTTCCTATCCAGACTTGAAGAGAAGAATTGCAACCTGACCCAAGTAAAAATAGATGAAGTGCTTTGTCTCGTGTGTTACATAGCTGCCAAAGTTTCTGCCAACAATGCAGTGCCAAGTTGGGTTGTATTTCTTGTCAAATTCCTGAAGAAAGAGAAGAGAGGCATTAAGGCCAGCCCACATGAAAATAGTTCTAAACACAAATACTTAGCTGGTTCTGTTCACACACTATCGCCTCTCCTCCCACCTGCAGCATCTTTAGATTCCCCACTGCAAGACACTATTATATTAAGCAGGGTAGCAACTGACACAACCAGACCTCTGCACCGGATTGTTTGAAGGATCCAACGCAAGCAAGTTGTCTCCTGAGACCTGGAGCACCTATCAGCCCTGGGCAGAAAGAGCAGACCTAAGAGCTCTCCTTCGTACAGATCTATTCAAGCCCTGCGTGTAGGCTAGCTCAGGGGAATATTTCTCCTCTCCCATTCCAAGCCCACTCACAAAAAGTAAAAAAATTTGGCATGTCTGCTCCAGCAAGGCATTTGAGCTTAAAGGTCACCTAAAAAAAAGGAAGGAAAAGTCTGGCTTCTGCTGTTTGGGACTCTTCACATAAAGGGGAGAAAATCTGCACTGAAAATAAGCAGGCAAATACACAGGTCAGCACATGGAGACCTAAGAGGTCAGAGGTGAGCAAGCTGAATGCTGGCTTGATGGCCAGCCTTCTCCCACCCAGCAGGTAAGAGAGGGTTAAAGACCATTTCCCTCCCTCTAATTAATACACAACTCCCAAGAACACCCTTCCCTCCCCTGAGACAGACAGAAGAACAGACTCAACATTCAAGATTAAAGCAAGTGTTAGTCCTCAGCAGCAAGACAGTTTGAGCTCTTTGCAGGTAACCTTTGAAGTAAGGAAAAGGCTTTCTTGCCAGGGCATGAAGGTGCATCAAATTGCTTCCCTCCTCCCAACACGCTCTCAGGAAATAAAGGCCAACTTCTTTTTGGATGCCTTCTGTTGCACTCGCTCACCTTACAGGCTGCACCGCCCCAAGTGCTTTGAGATAAGTCTCACCTCAAAGTGATCTGAGAGGTTAGGAGACACCTTTGAATCCTTTACCTTTGAATCAAGCTTAGCTTACAGGCAAGGCCCAAAAGCTAGCCCAAGTGCCAGGACTGCACTGCCTACGAAGTCACACTCTCTTCCCTCAAAAGCACTTTGCCTGACTATTCAGAGAAGTGGCTACAGAGGGAGCTGACAGCTCCCCAGACGGCATTGAGCATGACTTAAGTTAATGGACTCCTGCAAATGGGCAGACACCTCTTCACAAGGCAGGGCAGCTGCTTGCCTTGTTTTCAAAGCAGCACCTTCCACAACCCTGCCAGCCAGCACAAGGCCCCATCCTCCTCCACACCACCCACCCCAGAGCCAGGACATGGCAGACAGAACTGCACGTGCACAGCTGCCCACTTTGAGCAAAACATCAGAGTAATCCCACCCTGTGCTGGTACTGCAAGTCAAGCAGCAGCATCTGTGGAACAAGTCCTAAGGAGAGACTGCAGCCAGCTCTTTCTAGGCTGGTAAATCCAGAGGGACAACGCTCACACTGTTTGCTCAGAGCTTGCCAGAGCAACAGACCAGGCCCTGCTCTGACACAGCCCTCCTCTGACCTTGCAGAAGTCACTCCATCCTCTTGGGAATAGCAGTAAAGAAGCCAGGAAGAAAGCACCTTCTCCCTCCAAACATGCAAGTGTGAAGTCTCAGACACTCAGGCTCACAACAGGCACACATACTTAACAGCTTCAGGAAGTCTCAGCCAGAGCAGTCCCCTCATCCCATAGTTACCTTCTTTATATATGCTGCAATGTCCTTTTCTATGTTGTACTTCTCCATTGCCTGTGTAGCACAGTCTACAGCATCCTGCTGCATGTCCTCGGACATGTCCGCATTCTTGATCACAGCCTTTCTGTCAGACATCGTGAACCTAAGGCAGAACATAGATTCCTTTAATCTCTTCCCAAGAAAGGAGAAGCTTTCTGTGCATCAGAGGTTGTCCTTTCTACAGGAGGCTGCGTCACAAGCCGATACTACAAACCCCCTGTTATGGCCAGGGTGAGTTTATCAGGGCAGCCTACACTAGTCCCAGGCTAAGGTGCCCCTTACAGCTGGAGCACTGTAGCACTGGCAATGTTTGTAAGTTAGATCAGAGATAGTCCGACATCACCACCTGCATTAAACACATGCAGAAAAAGCTTACTGTGTGGGAGGAGACGGGATCTGCAGAGCGCCACAGCCCTCCTAAACATCAATAGGCTACAGACAAGTTTGCCTTCCAGGTGTACCAGTGGTTTGGAGCAGCATCTCTTCAGAGCTTTGCAAGCAACGGACCCCAGACTGCCCGTCTCCAGCACGTTAACAGCAGTGGTGCTTTTATTCCACCCCATGCCAGGGCTTACAGTCAGTGCTGCTAGTTTAGCCTGAAAGGAGTGTTGTTCCACATTCAGCCTATTATCATCCCCTCACCTCACCGCTGCTTTGCCACTGAAACCCAGACTTCAGCCTTTCCCATGGGACAAAGCCAGTCTGACAAGCCAGAAACAGGTTAACACCATGCTGCAGCCTAGAAACAGGGGCGGAGGAAGCAAGACCCACCACAGAACTAGTACAGCTAGGGCCTGGTGAAGCAGCCTCCTTTTCCCATCCCTGTCTGCAAATCACAACACAGATGCTGGAAACCAGTATGCTAGTGCTGCCCATGACCTTTAAGAAACTAGAAAGTGGTACATGGGAGCTGAGCATTTAGCCCCCTTCACTCTAAGTTAGTTCACATGCACCTACCAGTCACTAAACCATTTACACTAGACCTGCCATGGCCTTTCCAGGGAGGCATTCGGCATTGGGAAGTTTCCAGTGCAGTTTGTATTATCCTAGAAAACAGGCATTTGGCAATCCCAGCCCCACAACCCTTCTTCAAGCACAGGCCATGACACATGCCCTGGGGAAGGAGCCCCATGCAGTCCTGCTGCTGGCTGGCAGACTCCAACACACCCCCAGCACCAAACCCCTCGCTCTCAAGCCACAGGTGAGGCCCGGTCAGGAGGCACACATTATCTGGGGGACCAGTCAAGCGAAGGTCTGCACTGAGAAGGACCACAGCTGCTCACCTTGGCAGCAGGTCTTACCAGAGCATATTAACACTTTGCAGGAATAAGCTTCTTAATGGCAAGGAATGCCTCCAATTAAGCCTGCAAAGCACCATTAAGTTTCCTAAATCCTTTTACAGTGCCATAAGTCTTGAGTGATACTACCAAGCATGTTTTGAAATAGTGAAACTACACATTTTTAGCTCTACCAGGGAGTGAAGAAAATCTGCTGCAATGATCGCTTCCTGGAACAGTCCCAGAAAACTGAAGGAGTAGCTTTGTTACAGCAATTAAAGGAGCCTGCTATCCAGAGAGAAAGAGAATCCAGTTACATAATTGCAGCCCCAGGATTACAATACTTCAATTCTTCACTCTGCCTGCACTTGAAGGCTTCTATTGCAACCCTAATTTATACATTTTAGATAAAATGTTTAATAGAGCACTGCTATTAACATATACCAATAGCATCAGGAGGAATGAGAGGAACTGAGTTCAAATGCCAACAGAGAGCACACACCCCTACCACCGCTCTGGAAAAGCCACTTGCAGGCAGCTGGTTCCCTTCCATGCTGTGGTTTAAGCCAGTGGGTGTTAGCCTGCGGCCTGGAAACCCTGGCAGGACAAGACATGGCTCAGAACAGCCCAACCAACTGCAGATTTGGATTCACCATCCAGGAACCTGGCAATCCCTTGGAAGAGTCTTCTGGGGGTCCAGCCCACAGGAAAAGGGAAGGAGCAGAAATTCACTTGCAGGTTATTCTTCCAGGAAAGCCTCTTTAGGAAAAGATGGCAAGCAAGCTCTCACACACATCACGCCTTTGCACACCTCCACTGCACGCTGAGTTCAGAGGGCATTTGCCATTACATAAGCAGCCATGGAGTGACCTGCAAAAAGCATCTTCCTTCCTCATTGTTTAGGCAAGGAGCATCTCAGTGCAGGCCCATGCTGCCGAGGGCCAACAGCGCCATAGAAAAAAACAAATTATTATCCTTCAGTAGAGCTGCGAGTGCTGGCCAGCCTGCCCTCCCCAGCACCGCACTGCTCCAGAGTACAGCATCCTTCATGGGCCAACCACGACAGAGGCTGGCAGCCAGCTATGCTGCTGGAGGAAGGGTGCCCTGCACCCACCGTGGGGCGGCTCTGAGTGCCACCCCATCCACCCACCTGACCACCACAGAGCAGGGCCCCATCTCAGCTCATTCCCCTGGGGGGGTTACAGAGGCACCCTCCCCACAACGCAGCATCACCACATACACATCTTCTCCCTGAACCACAAGATCACAGCTGGCCCTCAGAGTCTTGCTACCCAAGTTGAGGAAAACCACAAAGCCCCACCACCCAACTCAGGGCAGGATGGGCCTGGGAAGGGGTAACAGTACAGCTCCAGCAGCCACCCTTTCCCCAGCACTGGGCAGGATGGGGTCTTGACAGAGTAAGACAAGACCACAGCCCTAGCAGAGCCACTCCAGGGCAGGATGAGGCCTTGGGAAGGGAGAAAGCACAGCCTCATTACCTACACACCTCCCCACCAGGACAGGCCTTGGGAAGGGGATGAGGCCTAAGTCAGCACCTAACCCTTCCCTCACCAGGGCAGGATGAGGTCTTGGGAGGGGGATGAGGCCCAAGCCCAACACCCAACCACTTCCCCAGCAGGACAGGATGGGGCTCTGGGAGGTGAATGATATTCCAGCTCGGCATCCACTCACTCCCTCGCCAGGACAAGATGCAGCCTTAGGAGGCAGATGAGGCACAAGCCCCCACACCCACCCCTTCACTCCCCAGGCAGGATGGGGCCCAGGGAGCTGGACGGGCTCAAACCCAGCCCCCACCACTTCCCCACCAGGACACTATGGAGCTTGAGGATGGGGCCGAGGCCCAAGCCCAGCACCCACCGCTTCCCCACCACGGCAGGAGAGGGCCCTGGGAAGGGGTGCGGCACAGCCCCTTCCCCACAGGGGCAGAAGGGGGCCCGAGGA